GAGAGAGAGAGAGAGAGAGAGAGAGAGAGAGAGAGAGAGAGAGAGAGAGAGAGGATTGAATATGGTTGCCTGTATGGGATCACCAGCCCAGGGCTCTGCGTGGGGGCTGGACTGAGATGTATTACCTCTGTGTGTGTGTGTGTGTGTGTGTGTGTGTGTGTGTAGTTGGAGGTTATTGAGAGAAGGACGATGGTTGAGGGAGTGGGATTATTCATCAGCAAAAAGTCACTGCGGCCTTCCTTCCTCCCTTTTTCTATCCTTCGCTTTCTCTCTCTAGCCTTTGTTCTTCTTCTCTCTCATGTGGGATGATGTAAGGAGGGAGTTTCCCTTCTGAGAGAGGACTGAAAGAATCTGGGAGTAATTGTGAGCAAATTTCTGTTGTGGACTGCTGAAGGGTTGATTAGGTGTCGCATTTCAGTCATAACATCCCCCTGCCGTGGCTATGTTTGTGAATTATATCTGACCATGTTTAGAACCCAGTTCGTCATTTCTGAGCATGGACGTAGCAGCAACCAGCCTGATGCTAACACCTGCTTAAGTGGACGCAGCATTTTGCCATGTAATGCTAACCGGTGAAACACCTTTGTGGCTGAACGCGCAGCAATGAACACTTTGAAGGAGCTGGTGGAGGGTTTCACAGATGAGCAGGTGGAAACGAATGCTGAGTTTGTAACGAGGCTTCTTGTCTACACGCCTGGCTGGGCAGACAAGAACGTGCAGGTTGGTACCGTCAGCATTGCTGGGAATTTGGCCGGACTTCTCAATTGCGGGTCACCAGATCCGTATCTCTTGAAATTGCCAAACATGGAAGTTGATTCCTTGATTACCACTGTGGAAAAGTACCTGAGTGTATGCGTCTTTCACTGCAACGCACCTGGGTGTTTGTGTGGTGATGTGCGTTCTCACTGAGACAATCGTGTACTATTAAGCTGCAATTTAATCCCATCGGTATGCAACTGTGGTATGATCAGCGACTATTAAGCAGCAGTTATGTCGATGTTCCCGTTCATTTGACTGTTTGCTTGTATGCCGTCCGGTACTCTTGGCTTTTTCTCATGCATTGTCTGGTTTTCAATTGTTAAGTTTACCTCCTCTGTGATATTCAAGCTCGGGAAATCTCTTGTAATGGAGATGTTTGTCCTCAGTCTTTGTAAGTTTGTATTGAAATGGCCGCAATGCAGGAACTCTCCTTCGGCACTTCGACGTCCTGGGCTTAATGTAACTTTCAAGCTCATAATAGTTTCAATCTCATGCTCGCTAGTCTCCCACCTTTTCTGTCAAATCTTTTCTCCTTTGGTCTTCTCTGCAAGAATGTTCTTTCTTTTCTGTGGATCACTTCCTGTAGATCTCTGCCTGGATTCTACCTTTTGCGTAAACCATCAGTACAGGGCCATACATCGGCCGTGGGCCGCTCACCGCGAGTTTCGTAGGCGCCAAACGCAATGCCAGCCATTGATGAAATTTATGAACGGCACGCCAGCCAAGACTTAGGTGACCAACGATTTCTCCAAGAGGCTGGGGCCATGCACGAGCGGTCTAATGATTCTCTCTTTATTTTCCCTCTGCGAAACCCTGTTCTCTTTTGACTTGTGTTTCTGCATTGAATGTGTCGGTATATGGACTGTGTTCCTTTGTTTGTGTGGGTCCACGGCAGTAGTCGTGTAGGCTTACTGTATTCCCTTCATTTGTTTTAATCCTTGATAGTCGTCTCAACAGTTTACCTTTGTGTTGTGTTTGTCGGACTTTGTCCATGATAGTTGTCTCTCTCGCCATCCTGCTTCATCATGCTCTCTTCCCATGCGTACACGCTGATTCTTTTGTCTGATGTCAGCTGCCTTTGTGGAAGCTCTGCTGTGAAACGTTTTTCACTTGCTAGCAGTAGCGAATGCAGATCCCAGGGCTCGATCCCTAGTTGATGCGAATGCGGAAGCTCTGACCTTACCTGTGTACAGTATTGAGTTGACCGCTGAGTGTTTGAACCCGTCACCTGTGTTTTGTTAGTTGTTTGTCTGTTGTAGGACTGTGCAGATGTAGTGATTCGATCTGTAGGTCTGTCGAGTAGGGGTCACAGCTCTGTAGAGGTCGTAGCTATGGGTCTAGTGAAAGGTCAAGGTCGTAGCTGCTACAGCCCTGAAAGGTCAAGGTCGTAGTTGCTACAGTACCCGAAAGGCCAAGTCCACAGACTTCCGGAAGGTCCCGGAAGTGGCCATTCGGAGTGGGCTCACGTTTAGGCAGAGGCAAGTGGGCAAGTGGTGGAGCCAACCTCAGTACGTTGGCAGTGCGACTGCAGTGAGTCTGCGGTGCAAACCCATGCAGTCAGCGGTACCTGTCCAGTCAGTCCCAGTCCAGTCCAGCAAGTACCATGAGGGACTGTGTGCACCATGGGCCGATGGAAAAGGGCAGACCAGCGAGTTACAGAAGTATAAATCAAGAGGCAGCGCCCAGCCATTGATTCATTCCTGTGTAAGCCATGCGGAAGCGCTGCCATAGCGACTTGTGCGAGGTGGTCTGCAGTGAGCCCGAGGACGAAGTGGGCAAGAAGGAAGTTAGCCATAGCAATAGAGTAGCAGCGGCCATAGCCGCCATAGCTGTAGGTGTGTGCCGGTGTGTGCGAGTGTACAGGGTGTTGCGTGTGGGATATCCAGGGTGATCCTGTGTGCGAACAGCAGTGTTGAGTAAGTGACGAACAGAGAGTTGTACAGGCGATGTGGCGCCATAGCCGTTTGAAGCGAACTTGTATCTGAGCTGCGTTCTTGGTACTATATCTCTGAGTTCTGATTGGGCGCTTCGCCAGTTTGCTGCGCAACCTGTTTGCATGCATGTGAAGTGTGAATGAAAACGAGTCTGATTGCAGCTGCCATCTTTGCCTTCGGTTTGTGAAGTAATGTTTTGACAATGACATTGTGCAGTCATATAGCGCTTCGCCAATTAATTTTGAAATTTGAATTTGGAATATGTGCATTTGTGCAGGTTGTCCAGAAAATGCTCGAAACTGTCACCGTTATTATCCAAAAAATACCCTTGATGACCAAAAGGTGTGCAGCGATCTGCATAGCTGGTAGGTTCAATATTCTGGAAATGGGTAGCTCCTCAAGTTCATAGTTTGGAATGCCGATTTCACGATTCTTCTGTTTTTCCCCCTCAAAAAAAAAAAAAGCTTCTTCTATTCTGGGCAGCAGCAGTCCGGTTCCTTTTCCACCGGCAAGTCGTAATGGAAATAAAATTGTACGCCACTCTTCCTCTCGTTACAGCCCGGGGGACCCTGTCAGCATTGATTGCTTCTCGAAGTGAAGGATTCAGTGCCAGTTAAGCCCTTGCTTGGAAATGATCCCACCCCCTAGTACCCGAACCCTGTCCAAATGATTCTATTTGAGAAGCGCACATAAAGTTGCCCTCCTTTTGTGCTGACAAATGTTTATGAAGTTTTTCTTGCGAGTTGACCCTGGCTTCACTGCTTGTTTAGGAAGTAGGGAGTCTATTATAAACCTTGATTATGCTGCTCTTTAGTCTCTTCGATGTCATTCTATTGCAGCACCTTCGTTTCACCTCTGATTCACATACCTTGGATTTTGTCTGCTGTCTATGACGACTTTGCTTGTATTTTGCTGCTTTGAGCGTTTGATCAACTTTGATGTCATTTATCGCATAACCTTTGTTTCTCTGCTGATTCGCATACCTTGAATTCTGCGCTGAGTATTTGGAGATTGGTTCCACTGGGGACTTGGTTTTATGTGTGTTCTAGCATTCTGCATTTTTGTGCTTTCTGCAACCACTGCACTCATTTTTGGAAGCAGTCCTTGTTGACCTTACCAGCATCTCAAAGCATTTTTTATTTTTTCATAATGCGGCACCTAGAGTCCTCAATTTACCTGGTTTTTGCAGACCTTGCGGACTCCCCTTTTTTTGTGCGGGGAGTTGGTCGGGCGCCGGTTCAAATCTCTGCGTGCACGGGGGTGGTCCTGTGGCTGACTGTAGTTCAACTGGGTAACCAGCCCAGAAATCATACGTGCATGTAGTGGCTCGTGGATAAACCGTTGGATGATTACTACTGTCTTGTGTGATGTGTGTGTGTGTGTGTGTGTGTGTGTGTGTGTGTGTGTGTGAGAGAGTTGAAGGACATTACAGCCATGCAGGGTGTGTGTGTGTGTGTGTGTGTGTGTGTGTGTGAGTCGAAGGACACTACAGCCATGCAGGGGCGGGGTGTATATCAGGAGACTGGCATGGATCCACTTTTGTACACTGTTTCATGGCTGTAGTGGTTAAGAGACTCGGCTCTTGAGGGTGAGGGCGTCGGTTCGAATCCGTGCGTGCATGGAGGAGGTCCTCTGGCTGAAAAAGTGCAGACTTTCTTGGTTGAATTGAACCGATCTGCCTTCCTTTTTCCTTAATAACACAGCCTGAAGACTAGGCCACTGCGGCGGCATCGGCTACTTTCTGAAATGCTAACCTAATAGGCACTGTAGATTGGAGCTTAGTTCCTATATGTGTGAGTTGAATGTTGTAGAAAGGATGATTTTAGGATCCGTGTATGTCATCCTTGTATGGTGGCCATGCCAGCCTCCTCTGTATGTAACACAGATGTTGGGAGAGAAAGCCAGAAATGTTTTGACATGCAACACTGTAGGGCATGACTTGAGTATTTGAGAATGATTGTTTTTTTGGCTTATAACTTATAATTTATAACGAACTTTTTTTTTTTTTTTAAATAGCATATGGTCCTGCCTGAGCCTCGCTCCATATCCATTCTTGGGAGCATCAGCCCGTTTCTGTTTCCCCCGGCAAGTCATAAAAATATATATACCATCTTTGCAACCTCAGGCTTCCTTCCGTAAGGCCAAAGGACCCTCTATTTCTTCGGACTTGTGGAAGATTGGATGACCGCTTGCCAGGCAGGCTTGGACATGAGAACTGAATGGTAGGAGCGGAACCTGTGTTAATTGGCATACTTGATACCCAGTATTACTCTCTCGGTTGACCTCTTTCTCCTTTGATGTGGAAGTTTTTGACTCTAGTTTTCCCTTGTCAGAAATTGTCTCCTGCCGCCTGCGTATCAATCCCAGAGCGGAGCAAGTGCTTCTTCAGTCCTCATAAGCTGCATCCTTATTGATGTCGCAGAGTTGTGCCAATCCTCCCACCTGACATCGAGTCTGTAAAAGTACACCGCCTGCCCCTGGCTAGCAAACGTATTTCAGCTTGGCTTGACAACTTTCTTGCTCTGAGCCTGGGTTTTGCTGGACTTGGATTTAGCTCTCCGAGAGTTGCAGGATGTTCCGGCGGCTATCATGTACATCGTGCATAACCAAAGCTTGCCCCGTGAACACCTGGTGCTGTCTGAAGTTATGCTTCATCTCTCTCTCGCCCAGAATGTCAGGTTGCCGATGAAACCAAACCGCATCTTCTCTGGCTTGCTGAAGTGGGAAGGGGTATTAGTCCAGAGAAGAAGTTGGATGGGCTGTCCAAGGAACGGATTCCATAGCCCAGAAATTCCTCGTCTCCCCAACACAGGTGTGCCTTAGAAGTGGGTACTATCACGGCTTGCATGAACCGTGACCAATGTTTTAGCGATGGATGTTTGACTTTGAATGTTTGTTGGTCTCTCATGATTCAGGAGTCATTGAGAAGGTCGGTGACATTAAGCTGCGGATTCAGTCAATTGCTTGTTTGACTGCTTATTGCGAAGCTGTTGGTCCACAATTTGTGTTCAACAGAGTGAGTAAACTTCATAGCCTTCTGTACTCCTGTTGAAGTACGCGTATATCGTATGTATGTACATGTTTCTTAGTGCCTCGTCTTACCTGTTGTATGCATACATGTCCATTGGACTCTTCTTGGCTGTGTGCAAGCATGTCGTATACTTGTCGAGGACAATTGTTCGCATGTTGTAAGCTTGATGAATGGTACTAAGTAGGGCGCTGGCCTATATGTGCTGCTGACTTGTGTGAGCGTAGCCATTTTTCATTTTAATTTGTATATGGATATCTGGACAACATGATGGATCATAGAAAAGGGAAGATTCTCACTTGTGTCAGTTCTTCGTGTTTGCAGATGTATAAACTGACAAAGGAGCACAGGAATCCGAAGGTTCTGAGCGAGGGAGTTCTTTTCATGGTTTCTGCTATTGATGAATTTGGCCTCACATATTTGAAAATGAAGGTGCGGCATTGATTCTCCTCCCATCCATTCCAACTTGTCGATTAGGGTCATTATGGAGGGCCAGTTTTCAATATGTAATGATTCAAATTTGCAAGATCGTCTGACTTTTGTTACAGGTTACCCTATCAAGGAGCTAATTATTGTTGTATATTGGAAAAGTGAAGTCGAGGATGGAACCGCTCTCTGTGACGAGAAAACCATCACAGAACAATTGAATTGGCCAGAATAATGAAATTTGGTACCGCCCAAGTTTTCAATATGTTTATGATTCAAATTTTCAAGATCGACCGACTTTTGTGACAGGTTTACCCTATCAAGAGCTAATTATTGTGGTACATTTGAAATGTGAAGTTGATGATGGTACTGTCACTAAAAATAGGCAAGAATAGTTTAATTTGGTTATTTGAACGCAAAGAGCAGAAGCCAGACCATCACCGAACAAGTCTCAGGGTCGCAGCTTTTGGAAAAGTCTTTAGTTCACCAACTGGGGGCGGTCCGCTCAGCTGGCACACGCAATGAACTGTTGAAATACAGACCCGAGTTCGAATCCAGATGCAATCAGATGAACAAAATCAAATGGTTCTGAATTACCTAGGGGCGGTCAGCTCGAAGATGATATCTCAAGACCGTCACCCTTTTCCGAAAAAAAAGGGAAGTCGTAGATTCCAGGGCTTAAGTCGGTCTTTAAGTCAGTAGACCTGGGATGCCACCTTACCTCGAATTTTTCAGGCTGTTATTCTTGTCTAGATGTTCATCCAAGTGTATGCCACCTTACCTCGAATTTTTCAGGCTGTTTTTCTTGCTGAGTTTCTGGTTTGCCATCCAACTTATGTTTTTCCGATCATGGTACTGTTCTTGTGACGAGGCAGAGGCAGAGCAGCGAGGCTGGGAGATAGAGGGAGAGTGAGAGCATACACACACGCTCACTCGACTCGATGCAGACTCGACGGATGCAGGCACAAAGTTGCAAAAGTCGCAAAGTTGCAGTCTTGAATTCCCAAACACAATGTCGAATCGAAGTCGCACTGATCACAAGCACTGAGGCTGAAAACTTGTTGTCTGTACTGTGCTCGTGTCCGTACTTAAGTACCGGATTCAAGTACGGTCCTGAGGGTGAAAGTGAAAATTGAAAATCGAAAGTCTGAGAGTGGGCGCCAGAATGCGGGATGGTGCCAAGTGTTCAAAATCCGAAAGTCGAAAAAGAAGGAATTTGACAACAGGCACCACCAGAATGCAATTGGTGCCAACTGTCCAAAATCGGAAAAGCAAAAAAAGTAGAACAAAACAAAAGAATTGTGAAAACAAGAAAAACAAAACAAATACAGCAAGCTGGCGGATGGTAATCCGCAGACCAGGGATTGAGCCCTGGCGGAGTACGTGACAGTTGTGTAACACATCTTTTTGTTCATTGAATCCTTTTTTCAAAGACTCTGAACAGAAACTGAGCTCGTTAGGAAACCCGGGTGGAGGCTGAATCTCAAAATGAGTGGCCAGATTGAAAGCGCAATAGCTTCATCGCGCCGAAAATGGATCGGGGCTCAAGTCGTTCACCGAAGCGACGAAACCAAACAAAAGCAATGTTGCGAACGCCTCTCCAGGCACGCAGCAGGACATGCTGGATACGAAGTGCTATTGTTTGTCATTGATCTTCAGGGTCAGTAGCGGAACGTTCTGCAAGTTGAAGAAGGAAGGCGCTGAAGGCGTCGTCTGAGTCTCTATATAGATAGGCCGAAGGCGCCCGTATCTATTAACTGAGTTAACTCAATGATACTACTTCGCTGCCTAACCTCTGCGCTCCTGTCCTTATCTGAGGACGTTGATATCGAAGAGATCTTGTGGCACCCACCACTACGCGGGCACCTAAGAGTAAATACTCGCAGTGGTTAACCGATTCTGTGATATCGATTGCCTAGTGTGAGTATGCCCTCTAAAGTTTGTGCTTTTCACTGATTGTGGCTGCAGAAAAATGTATCCTCGGGGGGGCTCCTGAGTCTTGCCCCTTCTTTTTTCTCGTTTTTTTATAAGAAAATGGGGCCCTTTTAGGGTATTCTGTTTAACAAAAATTCGGGAATCCCTCCACATACAACTCGGAAAATAAAGGCCGGGACCACTACCCAGTTTTGGTGCAGGTTTTGGGAACACAGACCAGGAGCAGAAATGGCCAGATCAGGACCGCCGCTGCACACTGCCCGTATCTTTCCTTTTGCCATGGTCTCCCAGACCTTGCCAGGAACTTCTGAGCTCTATCTTCAGGTGTGGTCCCGGCCAATCTCCTTACGAGGTAGTGTTTCTGAACAGTCTGGGTTGTCTTACTGGGCGCTTGTTCTGGATCCGCTTGCATCGTTTTGTGTAAGTTTATAAAGAGAAGGGTCTTCGATATGGAAATGAAATTATACTCGAGAAACAGGCACAAAAAAAAATAGACCATGTCATGTTTCGAACTGAATGAATTGGAAGCAAGCACACCAGGAGCAGGATCTGGTGCTGTGGCTGCCACAAGAATATTCTTAAGCACCCATTTCTGAAAGAATTTTCACTAATTGTGCGACAGTCTATCTTCTCTTTTTTCAGGATCTCTCAGTCCAGTGTGTCTCATACAAATGTGTTTGTGGTCCTGTCCGACCTCTTCACGATGTATAGTTTCTGAATGTTGTGGGTCGTCTGACCGGTCTGGGTTGCATGTTTTTGGCGCTGCAAATTTTTTTCTCCCCAGGATCTCCTTGACTTTGCAAGGGACTTTTGCTTGCAATCAAGTGTTCCTGCCGTGCGGAATGGAGCAGTAAAGCTGTTGGGGGTTGTTCACAAGTGGATTGGACCTGGTGAGTTACGATGTTCTCCAACTTTTCCCTCGATTCCTGAGTTGAATGATATGGTTCACGACATGGGTTTTGGGGTGCACAGGGTGGATTTCATGCATCAGAGTTATTGCTATTGAAGGTTTTCGACTGTTTTTTTTTTGGCCATGATTTTGATTTTCTTTTTGCACTTTTTCATGGGGAATGCTCGAGCATGGGTTGAAGCTAGGATGAGCGTACCCTAAGCACTACTGTCTGTTCTGCTTTGGATGTGAGAGATGGGTAATTGGTTGAGTTGCAGTTTGTGCTTTACGAGTCTCGGCATGTGATTCCTACAGCAAGTTTCAGCGATGTTGTTTTCCGCAAACCGTCATCTGAAACCCCCCTTGCTTGGGGACTCTGTGGGGTCCTCATTTGTGTGGCAGTCATTTATGTGGAGTTGTATGGAAAAAAAATGGTGCATTCTGAACGCCTGGCTAGCTGAGAGCAGGTCGCTCCAGGTCATGGCTGGTAGTGTCGGTTGTCTCATGCATTTAGCATTGAGGGCCACAGCTTTCGGGAGGACCCAAAAAAAATGGATCTGTCCCGGATTATGATAATTTTGCCTTTAATCTATGTCTTTAGGCCAGTGTGCTCTCCTGCGTAGGTGTATTGGTCAATTGGTCATGGCATCAGGAGGAGCCAGTGTGCTCCCCGTCTGTTTGTGATGGCCGCAGCTTTCAGGAGGACCCAATGGATCTGTCCCGGGGTGTGATGTTTTTGCCTCGAATCCATGTCCGTAGGCCAGTGTGCTCTCCTTCGTAGGAGTATTCGACAATTGGCCATGGCATCAGGAGGAGCCAATGTGCTGTCCTTCCGTTTGTGGAGTGATGACGTCACGTGTGGGAAGCACGTGTTGTGAGTCATGGCAGAGATTTCAGTCTCTTGATATCCACTTCTGCTTCTCACTGACTTGCAATTTGTGGTTGTGTCCATACCTCCAGTTGTTAAGGTTTCATTGCTGCTGCTTCTAGGCTAGCGGCTGGTTGTCATTCTCCATTGGATTTGTGTGACTGTGGGGTGCTCCCTGTGTTCCTCTGATGGGGGCTCTTGTTTTTTTTTTTTTTTTTTTTTTTTTTGAATGGCTGACTGTTGAAACCGGCTGGCGGTTGATCAGACTGGTCCTCACTCAGCAGGAGAGAGCGAGGGAGAATGAACACGTGCAAATTTCAAACGCAAAGTTGAGAACTTCTTGGTGGAAACATTGCATCACTTTTCGTCGAGATCCCCCCCCCCCCTCCTCCGTTTCCTCCCTTTTGGTATGCATTACAGATGCTGACTACTCGAGATGGACCTTCTGTCGCTTGCTTGATAACCCTACTGCCTCAGCGGGGCCCCTTACTACGGCTGTCAACAAGTTTTTGTTGCAGCAGGGCAGGACAAGTTGTACAGGATCTAGGAATAAGGGCTGTTTGTGAGGAATATCAGCTGTGAATCTCTTTTTTTTTAATACCAACAACAAAGAACCTTCGAGTCTGAGGGGCATCGGCTGTGAATCTTACGGACTTAGTGTTTTTTTCCCCTGCAGATCTGAAGAATTTTTTGACAGATGTGAAGCCAGCACAAATGGGGATTCTGGAGACAGAATTTGCAAAGAACCCATATGAGGTGAGCAACTCAGCTCTATGTTCTTGCAACCGCATGCGAGATATCGTACATTCATATCACTGTCTGATTGTTGCCACGCCAATTATTGTGAGATATGCACATCGTGGGCCGATCGGTACTGTGAGATCTATGTGTGTTGACAATGGTTGAAGCTCTACCCCCCACCTGCATGTCAGATCACTTCCTGTTCTTGTTAGTGTTTCTTTTGATGAAGAAAAAATAGTGCCTGCTTTTGTCTAGGTCCGAGTAATCCTTTCATGGGGGACATCTGAGTACACAAATTCATAAGTTTCTGCGATATGTGGCTTTGGCACTGTTTACGATCGTGTGGCCTCGCTTGCAATAATAGGGGCAAGGACGTATGGAAGGGGATGGGTGTTTATGTGGAGGGATGCAGGGGGGTAAGAGAAGGCATGGAGAGTGATTATGACCTGTCATGTCACCCACAAGGGGGGAAGAGAAGGCATAGAGACAGTCATTGTGACCTGTCACCCGCTTCGTGAAGTATGCTATCCTTGTAGTTTGGTGCCTCCGAGCAATAATGTCTCGCGTCTTCCTTGTGGATTTAGTAGTCAACTAGAAATGGTTGGTAATCTCTCACCTGATTGGAGGCTATGGGTTTGCGTGCGTTTCCATGTTCTTGCACATGCAGGGATCACCCGCTGCCAACAGAACAGTTCGAGCACCTGTAGCGGTAGACGGGGGTGGTGGTGGGGTTGGAGTGGATGGACTTCCAAGGGAGGACATCACACCAAAAGTGACGGCAGGCTTACTGAAAGGCTTCTCTAGCAGCGATTGGAAGGTATGTACTGTGTATGTGATATGAAGTATCAAGAAATGAAGCAGTACGAGTATCACTGGTGCAAATTCTCAGAATCTGTCTGCATTCGAGTTCACTGGCCAGTGTCGTTGTTGCTTTTGTCACATGATGTCCAGGTTCCAAGGGCGGGCAGTGTGTTTGCGGTGCAAGGTTGGATTATGTTCCCTTGTTTTCTTTGGTCGGTCAGTAACGTCAAGTCATTCTAGGCTTATCCTGTCCACCACACACAGGCATACCGCCTGTCGGGTTCTGAACAGAACTCACTTCTATCCCAAGACTACAATCCATAGTCATGGCATCTTGCCTACCTTCAACAATCTTTCTGCGTTGTCACTTGCCGAAGTATCCATTTTAATTGTTGCTTGCGAGAATGTGTAGTATTTGAATTTGATACTTCCCCCCAGAATATATGGGGTGTGTGCGAGTTTGGGTTTTAAAAAAGAAGTAAAAAAAGAAACATGCAGATTTGACCGAGTTGAATCCACTCTGGGCACCACCATCTATGCGGTGTGCTTATAGGTTGTCTGACCAATGCTTTCATCGTCACAAATTGTTTGGCCGTCAATGGATGAAACTGAGGTTTACTTGTTCTATGCTCGTGAAGTCCGTGGATGTCATTTGCAGATGCCCTTCATGGATTTTCATTTGCGGATTTCATACGAATGCTGTGATTTAGGTTTTGTGCAATCGTCGTTGTTTCTCCGGATTGACAAGTGATTGGCGCTGCAACTACAGGTCAGGCAGGACTCCATACATGGAGTGGATCGTATACTGGAGGAAGCAAATAAAAGGATTCTTCCCAATGGGACAGGTATGTGGGATATATGCCAGTCTTTCGTGTTTCCTTCTGGTCGGATTACTCCGTGTTCTTACTGTATGGAAGAGTTGCTATGTGTTGTTATGAGGCTCACAGAGTGGTTTGATGGTCTAAAAAAAACGCATTTGGGGCCTCCTGTTTTTCCAGGGGCTCTGTTCTGACTGCGTCTTAGTCGGATCTAATCTAAATTATTATGGGGTCTTTTCGGGGAGCGTTCGTAGTATATGGCCTGTAGATAGGCACGAAATGTGTTGAGAATCCTAAACCCTAAACCCTAAACCCTGGCCGCCTAGAAGTATGTGCTGTTATCCATACGATTTCATGATATGATGTTATTCATTTCGGAAGATCAGCCCCCATTCCGACCGCTAGAACCTGTGCTTAGAAAAGAAAAAAGAAAAAAAGGAAAGCAAAGAACAGAACAGAAAGAAAAAAAGATTAGTACGTAGCTCGCTGAGATGTGTGAATGATTAGGTGTCTAGTGTAAGACAGGTGTAGGAAAAGAAAATAGGCTAGCAAAAATACAGCTGTCCTCCATATGAGGAGAAGACAGACTGTATTTTATTTAAACCACTAGTACCATTGCCACTTCAGAAATGAGGGAGAATGCTAGCCCCTGAAGAATTTGGAGGCCAGGCCTGACGTCGGCTGCCATTGATAAATCTAATCGGTGGCCTATGTTTCGTTTTGGCCTCCTGAAATGTCCGAGGCCCGCTATTTTTCAAACCGACCAAGGTACTAGTTGTGTGAAAAGAAGAAAAGAAAAGAAAAGAAAAGAAAAGAGATTAGCCTCGAACTTTGTAGGCACGCAATCGATAGGAGAATGATGTCAACAGACTATGATGACCTTTGTAGTGAATGTTTTGGTCGGAGGGGAGCTGTTCGCTGCTCTCAATCGGTTCGAAAATCTTATTGGGGTCTTTTCAGGGAGCCTTTGTAGTATGGTTTGTATATGGCGTCGAAGTGTGGTGAGCGCTGTGGCTGCCTACCGTCTTCACCCACATAGAACGCGCGGTAATTATCGCCGTATCTGGGCTGAAAGTTGTGCCAAATACAGCTACAATGACCGGGCGTTGTATTCGGGTGAAGACGGTAGCAGTTATTCATAAATGTTATCCATTTCATCAGAAGATTACTTGCAACTTTGGAGGCAGGTGGAGAATGATGTCAACAGACTGCAATGACCTTTTGTATTGACATTTATTTTTGGCTGCAGGTGAGCTGTTCGCAGCTCTGAAGTCTAGATTGAATGATTCAAACAAGAACCTAACGATGACAGCACTCGGCACTCTTGGGAATCTTGCGTGCGCCATCGGACCTCCTGCTGACAAGGCCAGCAAGGTGATTTTACTTGTGTGCACCACGTGAGCTTTTACGCCCTTTTGAAATATTAGTAACTCGTCTGAGCACTGTGGTGCGCCGGAATTCGGCCATGTGTGAACTACACAGGACAGCAATTTCGTAGGAAGTTGTGCAATGCATTTGGTTGTGCTTTTTCTGATGCAGCACAGCAGTTTCGTCCTAAAGTCTCCCTATCAGTTGATGCTTTGAAGTCTGGGTCTTTAGTACCAGCTTACCGATTTGATATGGGAAAAGGGGAAAAAAAAAGGAAGGTGCAACGGCTCCCGTGTCATACGTAGCGTTTCAGATAGGCAACTTAAACAGTTCTTGAAACAGAGCAAAAAAGGCCGCCGCTAAGTCTGCATTCCTGCCACTTCGTAAAAATGGCCACAATTTCAACACCCCGCCAAACTTGCACATTATGAAACACCACTTTGCCTTTTCTTGCCCATTTCAAACTCAATAGGTGACTCAGGAGCAGTTTCCACGAAAAAGAAACAAAAGGCCACAAAATGCTGCCTGGATACAGAGTCTGGGTTGAGTGAGTAAATGTTTTGAGGGCTTCCTATTTTGCCTCAAGTTGAAATATCTGGGAGGGTTCACGGGCCTTGGGCGCCCGCTCCAGGTATCAAGTCCCATTTTCCCTTTGTGTGTAGTGCCACAAGTAGGCCCTCCGTTGTAGGGACTATAGGAACTGGAAGGACCTCAGGGCCTGTAGATGCCTGTAGGGGTTCCTGTAGGGGTTAGTGGTGTAAGTCAGGTACAGGGCATCTGTCCCCGGTCAGTTGCAGCTCAATTCATGACAGAGCATATGTCTACCCCCGGTCAGTCGCAGCTCAATCCATGGTGAAAGTTTTATGATGTTTGAAATCATTGTCAGCTGCGGCCAGGGCTAAGAGGGCCAGTTTCACAAGTCTCATTTTGGAAAGTACAGCAAGTACGAAAGACTGGTTGAAGGCAGTAGGATCTTTGACGCCCTGGATGGTCGTGGAAGCGCGATTTATTATTGTGGGACTTGCTCAAGCACGTGAGGGAGAGGACTACTGAGATTAGCAGTTAGTCGACAGTTCCAGTGCCATAGTCAGTAGTGAGAATGAAGCGTGAAGACATTCACAGAGAGATTGTAAGGCCTGACAAGGAAGAGAGAGAGAGAGAGAGAGAGAGAGAGAGAGAGAGAGAGAGAGAGGGAGGGAGGGAGGGAGGGAGCAAACATACCTGTTTGTTGTGTGGACAGGCGGCCATGGATGGTGAAAAAGAAGAAGCTTGCTGTACATGACTTCAATTTTCCAGTGTGTTCAGATGCTGTGTATCTAGCCTTGTTTTGAGTGAAAGTGCATGTATGTGAAGGATGAAATGAAGAGGGTGTGAAATCGAGATCTTTGCAAATCACATATGATGCTTGTGGGAAGGTGGACAAGGGAACGTTGTGTGGATGGTAAAAAAAGAAGTAAAATAGGTGTGACCATCAGCCCTCGCTTTGTTTTGCTGCCTGGCTTGGTCACATCTTTTTTTTTGGTTGAAAAACACAAAGAAGTGCTCGTACTCGTGAACTTCTGAAATTTATGTTAAATTGATGGTCCCGTGTTGCTTCTGCTTCAAACATGCATCATTTTCCTTGCCAGGGTATTGTTGCTGATGCACTGAAGTGCCTGAGCGACAACAAAAAGCAAATGAGGGATGCTGTCCTGAAGATGTTGACTTCATTCCATGCAGCCTGTGGTGTTGATAAGCTGGTAAGCGAGTCGATCTGGCGTATGAGTCCAGGGTCTTCAATTGAACGCGTGATCTATTTCTCAACGGTTACATGCATCTACCATAGAGCGTCGTAGGCTGGCGAGTGATTGGATTGGAAACAAATATATTGGCAGGATCGTGATGATCATCCTAAGGAATGAAACTTGCGGGGCATGTTTATGAGAGTGAACGAGGTACAGCTTTCCTCTTTGGACTCATGATGATCGTCCCAAGGAATGAAACTTAAGGGGCATGTTTATGAGCTGGATACCACGGATTATCTGGCCGGATAATCTTGTGGATTATCTGGCTTGATTATCCGGGGGGTGAGATTACCCGGAAACTCGGATTTAAAAAAGCCCCAAAAATTTTCAGGAAGAAAAGCGTGATATTGTGCGTATTAAATATACCAGACCTATTCTCCTAGTTGAGAAGGGTTCAAACGGGGTACAGATAGGGAATTAAGGGGTTTAGAGGGGGGTTGCTCGATCTATTTTATGATTTTTTATCTCAATATTGTTTTCCCCCCCCCTTCTTTTCGGTTGGGATATCAAAGATGACATCAAGCCAATAGTTGTTTGTATCGTTTATATCTTTAACATACTTATTTTCAGATTTTTTTGAATTTGGTTTTGGGGAAAAAAAAACCTATTTTGTGCAGGGCCAGATGCCCTAAATTGGGGATTAATCTGTTTTTGGAATTATGAGAGCCAGTGAAGGTACATCTTTCCTCAACTGGACGTATGAAGATCGATAAGTGAAAATGTTATAGGAAGCTGAAAACTGAAGTCAGTTTTTGTTTCGTGCCGACCCTACGCCAGACCTCGATCTTTGCGGATGAGGTCATTTTCCCAAATGGGACTACAACTTGGAGAGGTAGCGGTGTTGTAAGACAAATTCTGCCAGAAATTCTATGCATGTGGCCACTGACTTCAAGCCCAACAAGGGCAAGTCGATGATCACCCAATGGGGCAGACGGTAACGTCTAGCCCAGAGGAAACTGTCTGGGCAAATTAAGCTAGCCTTCTGCAGAACTGCTTTTTCACTGACGAGGAATGTTGTGGGACTGAAATGCGTACCACCATCGTTTGTGTGGAACACGTTCTGATTAAGGGACTGAAATGCGTACCACCGTCACGTTCTGATTAAGGGACTGAAATGCGTATGACCGTCGAGGAACGTTGTGGGACTGAAATACCACCGTCACGTTCTGATTAAGGGACTGAAATGCGTACCACCGTCGAGGAACGTTGTGGACCTGAAATGTGGAACAAAAAAGAGTTCACAGCAGTGGTTGATGATTGAACGCATCTCACATATGGTGACATGCCTGATGCCAATCTGGGTCCAGTATCTCTCTAGTGGTGGGGAGCTACACCTGCTGGAAGCGGGGTCCAGTATCCCTCATATACATCATATGTCTTGTGCGCCCGGGGCTGTTAGCCAATTAAATTTTTATTTCTCAAGTGAATTGAAGGTGTGGAGATCCGTTGAAATTGGAACAATAGAGAATATTAGCATGGCCCGTGTGAGGATGACACACATAACTTGATGAAGGGTCCTACGACTCCTATCAGTGATGACTCAAGATCTGCCTTCTTTGCAATGCTCGAAGAACTACTGCTGGGCATTCAATTGACGGCAGTCGTTTAACTTATCTGTTCATCTTGTCAGCATGACACTAATGTGTAACTTCTTGTGTGACTGAATACAGGCTCCATACGTTGCGGGTGGGCTCAGTGATGCGAAGATCTGTGCCGATGGGAGGAGGGATTTGTTGTCGTGGACAGCGAAGCAGGTTCCAAGCACTGCTGCACCACAGGAGCTCTTGTGTCTAGTGAAGCCTTTGTCCACCAGCCTGCAGGTGCGTGAATGGCTGCACGGAGCGAGCGAGTTATGTTTCCCTGTTGGCTTGCAGACATTTGGCTCATGTTGTCGTGGGGCGAGTGCCGGCCATACCACCAGTATGAAACGGCACTCCTAATTGGGCGCCGGTGACCTTGATCGAAATATGCATTCTGTTTGGCGAATTGTTTTTGATGCGCCAGTAACGTTTTTTCAATATTATATTATTATTTGATTTTTTTTTCTTTTTTCAGGGAGGTGTGACCTAATCTACATCCTTGGTGTTTTTTTCAGAATTTAGTGCACCCCCGCCCTCTCCCGGACAGGCCAGAGCCAGTACTCGTCGATGGTTTTTGAATTTTTTGGTTCTTTGAATGAGTAGGGCGTCTTTGACTGGTAGTTTAAATAAAATATGTGACACGACTCTCTGTTTTGGCAGAGGAAAGGAATCAAAAGATGGATATCTAAGCACAAGGTGAGTGATTAAGTCCAAATAATAGGTAATGGTTAAAAAAACTTAAAATGTTTTTTTTTGTTTCTTGTTTTTTTTTTTTGAATCCATTCTTTTATTTTTTCTTTGAAGGGCCATGGCCTTGAGATATCGTCATTTGAGCTGACCGGCCCCGGTACTTCGGCATGCTAGTATTTCAGTCATCTTCTTCCAGCCGAGTTCGAACTCGGGTCTGTATTTTAACAGTTCAGGAGGTGTACCAACTGAGCTATTGTTTGACATTTGTCTGTAATTTTATTGTTGTTGTCGTTTCTGGTCATTTCTGTTTCCCAGTTTGCTTGCAGATCAATGGCGCATGTTCTCATTGGGCTAGTATTTTGCCTACATCCTCATCGGTTTTCATTCAATCAAAACCTATTCAATTGCTTGGTATTTTCCGACAGCAAAAGATTGACTTCTGAGGAAGTCGAATGCCTAAGTCAGAACAATGGATTAACTTCAAAGCTGATGGTCTGTTTGTTTACCCATCAAAATGGTGATTGTTATTGTCTATTCTTAGGATAAATCTGCGGAGGTGCGAAAAGCAGCAGAGGAGCTGCTGATGGCAGTCATTGCAGCTTGTGGCTACGATGTGGTAAGCACGTGTTTTCCACCACCTTTGTGGAATGATAAGTGTGTGCAGGTTCTGACTTTCTCGATGTGGAATTTTGTGGCAACGAATGGACAACAAAGACCGAATACTTCTTTACTATATGATGACATCCGAACCTGAAGTATCACAAGTGTCCCACCCACCCGATCCATAACATGGAAAATTAAAAGTTAATTCTTTTAATCATACGATTGACAGCTAGAGGACGGGTGCAGCTGCTACATAGAGAATGTCTGCTCAGCCGCAATTTCGCTGGCAGATCCTGTGGGTGGCATTTGTGTGTCAAATCCCATCACAACTGTTTTTTCACTAGGGTGTTCAAATTAACAGGGGTGCTTGTGTGGCTCGAGTTTCACTTCTCATCTGCAGGCGTTCATGGCCGTTCACAAGTCTCAAACATAAACTATGCCCACCTACCTTCTTCCCTGGGGCACACCACCCTGTCATTATATCTGTATTCTGTGCAAGGTTCAGGGCAGATGCAGATATACTATGACCAGGTACTGTGTTCGGGTGAAGAAGTTCGGAATTGGGGGAGGTCCATTGGATGACTCCGCTATCAGCTTGTGAGAACTTTTTTTTATTACGAGACAGGAAAAAAATGGAAATAAAAGGGGACACTCTTGGTGCTATGGATAGAGTGTACTGAAGTATCTTCACTCATGCAGGTAGCCAAGGCAGCAAAGCAAGAGGGAGCAGCTGTGGCGAACAGCCTTAATCCATATCTGGACAAGAATCGTTCAGGTATGTAATACGTATGCTCTTTCCTTTTCTTTCCGTTTCTTTTTTTTTCTTTTCTTTTCTTTAATCACTCTTGTTTGAGTGAAAGCTCATGAGATTGCTAGACTACCTACCTATGTAGTGTAATGAGTTGGCGGCTATCACTTTTTTTTTGGTTTGTTTCAAGTGTGTTCAAAGTTCAAACCTTTTTAAGCATGTTCTGGACTCTGGACTGTATGGTTATTTTCATTGGTGAATCGTCAGTTTGTTCAGTTTTGCTGTCCCCGCAGGGCCAGGACTGTTCTATCGTATGCTAGGAAGATTCCCATGACCGGCCGGTCCGGACCGGCCGGTCACCCGGTCATCATGACCGGACCGGTCCCATGCCCGGGTATCCCGGTTGTCAAAAAAAGGGCCCAGATATATATCCGTGCTCGGTCTGTAGACCCCGAATCCGGGGTCTTTTTTTGTGTGTGCGACTTCGGGCCTGGGGGGTTTATATTTTCGCGGGGTTGTTCCGCGCTCGGTCTGTAGACCCCGAATCCGGGGTCTTTTTTTGTGTGTGTGACTTCGGGCCTGGGGGGTTTCATGGGTGGGGGGGGGTGCGGGCAAGGGGGTTGTCTGTTCCTGTTGTTGTTGTTGTTGTTGTTGTTGTTGTTGTTGTTGCTGACAAGGGGCAAGGGGGTTGTCTTCGATTGATGTTGTTGCTGACAGTTATCTACCATACCTAACTGTCAACAACAACAACAACAACAACAACAACAGGGATGACGGCCACAACAACAACAACAACAACAACAACAACAACAACAACAATGACAGGAGGAGAGAAGAAGAAGAAGAAGAAGAAGAAGAAGAAGAGCTGAGGAGGAGGAAGAGAAGGAATGCCGTAAACGTTTTCTTTTTTCTTTTACCTACCTGACGGAGACGAAGAAGTCGATGAGAAAACAACGAGAGGGGGAGGACGGGAAGAAGACGAATAACAACAAAGGTGGGGGAAGAAGATAAAGATGGGGGGAGAAGGGGTAGTAGAAGAAGAGAAGAGGAGGAGAGAAGAAGGAGAAGAAGAAGAAGAAGAAGAAGAAGAAGAAGAGTTCGAGTGGCGGGGCGCCGTCGCGGCG